TAAAGGGATTAAGAAAAAAAAAAGGAACTGATACACACACCCACACCCAAAGAAAGCAAGGTACAAACCCCTAAACGTTGAAAGAATATCAGGCCTTCTGCAAATCTTCCCAAGCCTTTAACTCAATACTAATGGGGGTGAGGGTGGGGAGAAGACCTAAGAATTTCATGAAAAGACACTTGATGAAATCCGAAGGCCACATAACAAAGAACATTTAATCCCTCCTAGATTAAGCAAATGTTTGGGGGCCTATTCATTCACCAGCGACTCATATGTAGAAAATAATGAATATTAGCTTAAATGGATGCGAGAGGATAATATGAGAAAAGAGAACATAAACTTCTATTTTCTATCCACACCATCATTATAATAAAAATTCATTAATTTCAGTATACATTCTGAATTTTATTTAACCACTAAGAAAACTTGAATGCCCTACCATATAACTTAGGTTAATAGAAAATATTTTTTTTAAACCAAATACAAACTACTTTAAGACATTAATCAAACTTTTAATGTATAAATTTATTACATGTCAGTACAGAAAAATAGAAAGTATATTTTAAAAGAAATTTATTGTAAAAAACAAATGTAAATGTTGGTTTGCCATGGTTAGCACATAACATTCAAATTTGAGCTAAAAATTTTATTACTTCTTCAAATAAAATATGGCAACAAAAATGATTTACATTATGAAATTGGATTAAATTATTTTATCTTGAACAGGTTGAAAGCAACTTGAATTTTAAATATATGCTGTACTGACAGAAAATATTATAAACTAACTTAATACACACTCCTTTGTTTCATATGAATATATGGTACTTTTTGTTAAAAAAAAGTGTCTCTTACCATCTTACTTTTAGACTACATTTTTAAGATACAAAATATAAATGGAAGTATATTTGTGCCATTTGGTAAAAACATGTTGACTACTATTTGGATGAATGCATTTCTTTTGCAACACAAGTGAATATATTATTTTTAATTAGCTAAGATGACATACATATATGGTAATATAAATAAACAGGAATACTTTTTCTATCCTATTATTTAAAAAATAGATGTCTGTGCTCTGTCATTTCCAACTTTACCTGAGTGATATGAAAATACATAAATTTAAGTGGATAATCCAAAAGTATCTAATTTTTTTCAGGTTTTTTTTTTTTTTAAATCCATAATTGTTGTCAAACATAATAGGAGAAACAGAGAGAGGTTAGTGAAGGATTTCAGTATATCTCAACCATGACCTAATTTTAAAAGTGTCTTCTGTGATATCCTTTTTAAAAGTTTATCTATTTACTCCTAACCTCAAGAAAACAAGGAACTAAATAAAAACTACACTCTACACTTAAACTGAACTTGCAAAATAACATATAAAATTGAATATGGCCTTCACTCTTTAATCCCACCAACAAATCTATTCCCACCTCAAACCAAATCTTTCAAACTTAAGAAATGAATATGAAAGCATGAGGTGGTATGAATTCTCATTAAGAAATATTACAACATCATTAATCCAGTGACACATTACCAAAGCTGGAACTTTGGTAATTATCATGTGTCTAGACTAGAGCCTATCATGAAAAAAGTAAATTTAAGCTGCCCTATTCAGCTACAAAATTCAGAATTGTAGCTCAGCCATGGTGGCTCAGTGGTTAAGCATCAACCTATGAACCAGGTCACGGTTCGATTCCTGGTCAAGGCACACGCCCGGGTTGCGGGCTCACTCCCATATGGGGCGTGCAGGAGGCAGCCAATCAATGATTCCCTCTCATCATTGCTGTTTCTCTCTCTCTCCCTCTACCTTCCTCTCTGAAAATCAATAAAAATATATTTTTTAAAAATTCGAAATTGTAATGAAAATATCTACCTTACAATCAAAGTGCTTGCAAAAATATAGGGTAGTGGCAGTATTGGGTGCTCCAGTCATTTGGTTAGAAATGTCTGGTATTTAACTGTTTTGCATTGTTATGTTTCCTTTTCACCAATCTCACCAGTTAATTATTTCCTAGATCTACATTTAACACACCACCTTTCACTTTATTGCTCTTTCTATTCTATTAGTATTCTTTTATCTTCTACAAATTATTTTTCCATATTTTGCAATATCCCTTTTAGGATCCCTTTTGCCATTTCTCCCCAATAATCCCTTTTAAATCAATGGATTTTGATCTAAATAAATTATATCTTGCCATGTTTAAATATTTCCAAATTTACCACAGCTTAATAACTTAAAATTCATTCAGAAACTCCCAGAGCAGCTCTTGGATAAGTGAGCCAGAAATTAATACACAAGACGGACACACTTCTATTCCCACTAAACCTATGAATCCAAAATGAAGTGACTCATTCAGAATTCACATTTTATTAACACCAAATGCTTTGGCCAAAAATTAGACACATTTTGAAGAACTGATTTTGTTTTCTATTTCTCCCTATCTAAAGAAATATGCTCAAATACAGAAATTAGGTACTACAACCCTAGAAACAGACTCTTCCCTTTGCTGTAGGAAGAAAGGCTCCTTAACCCAAAGAGAATGAAGGTAGGGATGGGATACATGTACTTTACAACTTTTGAAGTCTTGACTTAAAAAGATAAAAAAAAAAAAAAGACTGTTTATAAACATGGAGTATTTTAAAAAGCGTAAAACAAAACACTGATGAAGAAAAAGCTTTTAGGCTTCATCAGCATAATATTTACAACTAAATTTGATAAATTCCTTCATAGTGTAGTAGATTAAATGATTACATGAAAATGTAAGAAGGTACTTTATAAACTTTTAAGAATGATATGAGTCTAAGGTTTTCCATGTAAGCTCATGTCTAAGTACACTAGATCTTGTATTAAATTTTTTCCCTTTAGTACATTACTATTTAAGACAGTCATTCTACATAGCAATGATTGACAAGATGAAAAGTATCCTTTAATTGTAGTGAAATTATACATACAAAATACACTTTCCATGATATGCATTACCAAATTTGTTTTTAAAAGCATGACTTTTTTTACAATAATTTATAGAAAAACATCATATTTGCTGTGTTTTCTAAATATTGACATAAAGTGAATGAGGCGAATGTTATTTGGCAAAAGTATTTCTAGCCCTATCTCCATAGAAAGAGTTTTTAAATTAAGGTCAAAACTATCGACCCATTATTTCTGTTCTAGCTGCTTGCACAAAGCCAATAAATATAGCCAAAATATTCAAAATATTACATTTAAAGCTGACATAATGCACAGAGCTCAAATACATCTAATTTTTGAGGACTGCTTGACACAACTTAGTACATTTATGCCTCAAAGCTTATATATATGTATATATATATATTTAAGGTAAATCCTGCAATTTTAAGGAGCTTTTTTAAAAGATTTTTTCATACATTTCTATATGACTAAATACTACTTCCCACTGATAGCCATTTAATAGTTAAATGGGGTAATATGTTCTGTGATAAAAAGCTGTAGCATTCCTTCATCCCCACATTCCTACATGTAGAAAATAAGACTTCCTAAAATTGTCTTTTGTTGCAGTTCTATTTTATAACTAAAATATTAAGCCAAAGAACATAACTTTTTTGTTTTTGTTGTGTTTATTTTCAGAAAGTCCAATAAATGACACCTTGGCTTTAGAGGGTTAGATATACCTAGATACTGGGACTTAAAAATCAAATGAGGGAACTTCTGTAAAACAGTATGTACAATTATGTAATAAGAGTTCCTACTTTAATTCTTAAACAAGTTATCTTCATTATGACTGCCATTGGTGGTTTACCTGTAGACTTATGAAATTGATAAAAGGTAAAATTCTCTTTGCCACCAAAACTACAAATGTAAAAAAGTTCAAAGATGCACACTGAAGCTGCAGTGAAATTCTAAATTTCTATTTTTGCATGCCATGATCCAGACTGTACCTAACAAAACACAGTACATTTTTGTTGGAAAGTGGGGTCCCATTTATTTGTAAGAAAAAGCTGAATCTCAGCATACGCCAGAGCAAAATTCAATAGCAACCTGCACACAGGCCTCAATTTCACTTCTTGCCAAAACCAAAATAGTTTACATAAAAATAGATATAACCCAGGTTACCATATACATTGGTATATGACCAGTGCTATTTACATTAAAAACATTGCATTGCATAATTCAAGAAATAAAATATCATCATGCATTTTAAGGTGAAAAATGCAGTTATAGAACTAAGCTTGTATACCATGATTGTCCCAATATTTACTAAAGGAATAATATCCGAAGGTTTCTCGTCTGTATCTCCCCTTCCACACCCAGACATTAACCTTAAGTATCATATGGAGTGTACCACTTTAGCAACAAGAAACTTTTGAATATATTCTACTGGCATATTAAACTAAAGATACAGACACATAAACACATTGAAAGGTTTGATGAAAATGTATGAAATAATCCCAACAATTATAGTTTTTCAAATGTAAAAAACTATTTGGATCATCTTTAAAGAGCACTAAAGTCCTTTCAACATTTAATGTCACTCTTCAGACAAGTACAGATATAACACACTTCCAGAAAGAAACATTCTTTATCATTCTGCACAAACTAAAATACAGTGCAATAAAAAAACATTATATAATTGTCACATTAGATGAAGTTTTTGCCATTTCTTCAGGAGAATGACTCTTTATTACTTCTTTGATGAACTGTTCAAGGCTAGTGAAGTAACCCTGGCATTGCCATGTGTCATTATGAGTTCCATCAGGAAAAATGGCTAATCTCTTAGTCCGAGATGGGGAGAGTTCATAAAGCTGCTTCATCATTACTGGTGGAATTAATTGGTCAGAGAGTCCAGAGATGAAAAGAGAAGGCATTCTGCACTGAGAAATTTTTCTGTAGGACAAAAATTTATTTTTGTAGCACCATAAAGGAAGGTAACGCATTGGAAAGAATGAAAATAAAGTTCTGGCCATATGTGGTATGCTTAAAAATGTGTTCTCCACCATAATGGCTGAAATCCTATGTGAATTTTCAGAAGCCAAATGAATAGCCACTGCTCCTCCCAAGGAACGACCAAAAAGAAAAATTTTTGTTTTGTCAAGGTCAGGTCTAGTCATCACATAGTCTAGCACAGCTTCAGAATCTAAGTAGAGTCCTTCTTCACTTGCTTCTCCATCACTTTTCCCATATCCTCGATAATCAACAAGCAAAAGATTAACTTTGAGGTTAACCAACATAAGCAATGCATTTGGTAGCCTGTGACCTATGTTGCCTGCATTCCCATGAAAATAAATTATGGTTGGAGAATAGGGTGAATTGTCTCCAGTATATCTTACCAAAATAAGATTCAGACGCACTCCATCTTTGGTTCTGATAAAAATGTTTTCATGTGGAATACCAGTGGGCATGGGAACATAAAGGCGTGAGGAAGATGGCTGTTCTGGAAAATAGAGCAATACATCCTGGAATTTATATAGAATACCTGCTATTGATATGAATATTAACAAAAGTAAGATAACGCCTCCATACAGATGAAAAGTCACTATTAAAGGTAAGAGAGAAATACGGCAGAGCGCCCAAGACCAGGAGGCCAAGGTTATTAGCCATCTTTCAACAAAGTTCCACAGCATCCAGGACTTTTCCATTGTAGCTCTCTGTAAGTGTCCTAAAGAGAAAAAAAGAGAGACATGTTATCAGTAATCCAACACATATCTCTTATTTTAAAGTTAGATCCATGATACATATAAATCTTGATACTAGATGAATCCTTGGAAGCCTCCATCAGTTCATCCACAAAAATGGTTGCTCTAATTTCCCTTGTCCCTTCTGTTAACAGTCTCCTTTCTCCCTCCAGTGCTATCACAGTCATCAAACTATATTCATTTTGTGAAATGTGCTTACTAGTATTTACTGCCTGGTTCCCAATTTTTTATATGAAGGAACAAGGAGGCACAGGAATAAGTATAAGTGGATTGGCTGTATTTTCGTTTTTTTCAGATAAACAGTTGAAGTGGAATTGCTGGATCGTATTATCTTTCTATTTTTAATTTTCTGAGGAACCTCCATACTGTTTTCATGGTGGCTGTACCAATTTACATCCCACCAATAGTGAACAATGGTTCCCTTTCGCCACATCCTTACTAATATTTGTTATTTCTTGTCTTTTTTATACTAGCATTTTAACAGGTATGAGGTGATATCTCACTGTTTTGATTTGCATTTTCCTGATGAGTAATGTTTTCATGTACTATTGGCCATCTGTATATCTTCTTTGGAAAAATGTTTATTCAGACATTCTGCCCTTTTATTTTTTAGCTACTGATTTATATGAGTTCTTTATATATTTTGGATTTTAAACCCTTACCAGATATATGATTTGCAAATACTCTCTCCCCTTCAAAGGTTGTCTTTTCATTTTGGTAATGGTTTCCTTTGTTGTTCAGAAGCTTTTAAATTTGATATAGTCCCATTTGTTTATTTTTGCTTTTGTTACCTTTGCTTTTAGTGTCAGAGCCAAAAAACCATTACCAAAACTTATATTAAGGAGCTTACCAGTTTTATTTCTAGGAGTTTGGTGATTTTCAGGTCTTACATTGAAGTCTTTACTCCAATTTGAGTTAATTTGTGTGCATGGTAAGATAGTGATCCAGTTTTTCCAGCACCATTTATTGATGATATTATCCTTTCCCATTATATTCCTGGATTCTTTGTTGTAAATTAATTGACCATGTATGTGTGGGTTTATTTCAGGGCTCTATTCTGCTCCACTGATTTATGTGCCAATGCAATACTGTTTTGATTACTACAGTTTTGTAATACAGTTTGAATTCAGGGAGAGTGATGCCTCCCACTTTGTTTTCCTTTCTAAAGATTGCTTTTGACTACTTGGGGTCTTTTGTGGTTCCACAGAAACTTTAGGATATTTTGTTCTATTTCTGTGAAAAATGCCATTGGAATTTTGATACAGATTGTATTAAGTCTGTAGTTTGCTTTGGGTAGTATGAACATGTTAAGAATATTAATTCTTCCAATCTATGAGCATGGAATAGCTTTTCACTTAATTGTATCTTCTTCAATTTCTTTCATTAATGTCTTACAGTTTTCAGTACACTGGTATTTCACATCCTTGGTTAAACTGATTCCTAGATATCTTACTCTTTTTGATGGAATTCTAAATAGGATTGTTTTCTTTATTTCTCTTTCTGATAATTTATTAGTACATAGAAACACAACAGATTTTGGAATTCTACAGCATTACTGAGATAGTTTGAGGGCAAACCTGATTAAAGAGGTAGTTAACAGACTCTAACCTATCAAGACCAATCTGACGTAATATTGTCAATATTCTTTTTACATTGTAGAAAAAAATATAATTAAACAAACCAGAACAAGAAAAATAAAATATTTTCCTCTCTACCTGGAGGTTTTCACAGCTAAACTTGAAAAGTAATTTATTTAAATTAACCATTAGTTTCTAATATTGTATTTTCAGGAAAAATAAGTAACATATATGATTAAAAAGAAATTTCAGATTACTAATATAACAAAATATGTAAAATCTTTTATATAGTCCTTATTGCAATTTCATACCAGTGAGTCAATACTGATTGCTATGCTGTATTGATAAAGCCATAAATACTTGGGGGATAAGTTAAAAGAAACAGAAATTCTCTTTGTGAACCAGAGAAAAATTAAAAAATGACTTATTAGAGACATTTTTTTTAAATATTGCTGAAAAAGACAACTGATAAAAATACAGAAAAAAGCTATCAAAAGTCAACTTTTTAATCAAATAAAAAATGTATGCATGTTGTCTTAAAATGGCAAGAGGTAAGACATATTACACTTTTTCTTATATATTTACCAAGTTTTAAAAGACATTAAATTCTTTTACTACAAAACTATCAGAAAGAAGCCACTCTTACATTTGATACATAATTGTTAATTTTTAAAACTGTACTGTAGCCATAAGCTAATAAATGTGGCATTTTAATTCATCATGTTAGGTTTAAACACTACAGAAATATAAAATAAAGTTAGAATGGCTATAAGGATGAGTTAGATGATTTAATAGATTCAATTTTTCACTATTATTTCACCAAACATATTTACTATTTTGTTAAACAGATTTTAAATTTGAATTCTTGTTCAAATGACTGCACATAAACCCATAGTATTTTTCTGAAGTTTCTCTGAAATCAATACTGCCACCCAGTTGCAGAAAGTTTTATTACAATGAGCACTATACTAGAGAAAAGCAGGTATATCAGGTAAACAAAAACCCAAACCTAAAAACTATAGAATCAATACCTGACCACTAGGTGTCAGAATTAGTTAAAAATCAGACTGAAAGAGTAAGCCAATTACAGTAAATACTAAATCATTGTTCTTGGTCAACAAAAAAAGGCCTTTCACAATCTATGACTGTTATTTTACCAATAGCTTAAAGTAGACAGGGCTACTCTCTATATCCATTCGTTGTTGTGGATAATTCTCAACAACACATCTGGTCACTTAAACATTTAATCTAATGTTTACTTAGTTTAATTTTATTTTTTAAATTATAAGCAATATCTGAGTGATTTTTCATATATACACAGAAGTTGTATTGGGCAAGTATGAAAACACATTGGCATTAACTGTATACATCAAAATAAAAGAATTTTATGTAATAATTAGGATTAACAAGGTTTGGGATGTAAAATATAAATATACTAGAGCACTGTAATATTTCAAAAATAAATTATTTAATATATTTCTTTAGTGAAAAATTTTACTTTTTTTTTTTTCATAATCAGGCCAATCATTTGTGAGAAGTATCAGAGAGATGGTTAACTCAAACATAGTAGGGGGGAAAAGGCACAAAAATTCCATCAGTCTTAAAGTCTATGCCAGGGGTGGGCAACCTTTTTGTGAGTGCTTGCCAAAACCAGCAAAATCTCTGACTCAAACTTCTTCTGCGTGCCAACCCTAATTTTTTGAGAACATGTTACGCCTACTTGATATCTCTTAAGGTGTACATATGTGAAGAACCTTGAAGAAATAATAAAATTCATTCGAGCGACAAAAACACAGTATATGATGATGAAAAATACATTTATTTTTTAATGTATACATGTACACTGATAGTCCGACAGAAAACTTTATGACTCCGTTTGATATTATCAGTGGGACTTCTGCTGCTGCATCACTGATGACAGAGATTTTACATCAGGTTTATATTTCGTGACCTTAAGAGATATGCAGGAGCTACTACTTTCATCTGTCAGGCTACTCCTATTATGAGACTTAACAAAATTCATCACTGAGAACAAAGATTCACAAGCATATGTGGATGAAA